GGAGGAATCCATTTCGCTGTCGGTATTTTACTATTGTCTTTTCGCTTTTCCCTGTCGCTGTCGCAGTTCCAACCCATCTTTGTGTAGCTTGTCACCATTTCTGCTCCATTGTCGCTGTTCAAAGGCTAAGTCGATTGTAGGAATTTACCCTTACTGGGTTCCTGCCCTAACAGGACCTTCCCCAGCGACAAAGAAAACTGACCGTATCATAAAAACGTCAAATCACTTAATTGTGTCAATCAAGTTACATGTAGACCTAGGTGTTGGAAATGTTGGGTACATCGTATCACTCTTCGTAATTTTGGTTGCCGTATCATAAACAGTTTTATAGTTCATGTTCGGCCGTTATCTATAGAAAACGAAGCGCTTTTGAAGTGAAATTTTATTTGTCTTTAAAAACGTGAGTGAAAGCGAGCGATGTAGAAAGAAGGATTTGATTAGTATGTACTGAGGCGCTCTCTTTTGTAAACATTTTTGGTCTTCTTAAACAAATAAGCGAATAATTTTGAAACCGCTCGATGCATTTTATTAAAAATTTCAGATTCTCAAGATTAACCTCTTTTTGTGTGACTCTTAAGTTTCAAGATTATTGATATCTTGTAAGACAGTAAAATACGAAGGGCTGCGGCGACCTCAAAGGCTTGACGCGTTTCAGACAGGGCCTCCTTTTCTCCTCCTCGATCAAGAAGATAAAATGGGAGGCTCTGATCGCAGGGTGGAGTCCTCATGATACGAGAGATGATTTTCTTGTCACCATGTAAACTCTTTTCTAAGTTTGGGTGACCCATCTTCTGTCTCTGGTATAGTCGACTCTCTCTTAAGGGAATTTTCTATAAGACGGGTATCTCGGTAAAAGGGACATCTACAGTTGCTCCTTTCCTTTCTCTGATCCCTTTATTTGACTGTTTATAAGACGGACACTCAGTGCGCGCGCCCTAAAGGTGTTCCTCTTAGAAAACGTTGACTGCATGCATGATGCTCCTACTAGTGTTAATCGTGTTTTGATGTTGTTGTTGTTGTTTTTTTTGTACTAGTTAAACAGTTTTGAACCTGCATGGTTAGGAGAAGCTTCTATACGTGAATGATAATACGTTATTTAATGACCAGCTAGGAGAATGCATTTTAAAATCTGACCAGACTTATTGTCTCGACTAGCAGTTTATACCTCACATTCGATAATTAACCTTAAAGGTCTGGATAGGTATAAACCACCTAGAAAATAACGAGGAAATGCCTTTTGAGTGTCTCGGCGTATCGTCTTATAAGAAAGTAAATGTGTTGAGATACTGATCAACCACCCTTATAAAAAAAAGTTGCCCGAAAAGATAAATTCAGCCCACCTAAATAACGTAAGCCGGCCACCTCTTCACTCTCGTTTTTCGCTCTAACAGGTTATCGTTATCGTGATGGGACTTCACATTTTGTTTTCACTTTAATAAGTGTTAGACACTTAGGCGACCTGAAAACAGCGTAAGAGAGCTTTAGCAGTGTTGTCATCAGTCAAATATTTTCTCTGGTCGCGCATAAAACTTGCATAAAACATACATGACCTAAAATAAAGGATCAATAAGACCATTTAAATGTGAAAAACAACTGTTTGAGTTAGTTTTCTAATTTTCAGGTCTCCTCTGCTAATTCTTGGGAGCGTGATTCCTTCAGTCTAAAGACTGCTTAATCGTCGATTAAGTGGTATTAAGATGTACCTCGGTAAAAAAAGCTGCAGAATGAAAAGATCTTGTCAAATTAAGTCTAACCGGGAAAATAAAATGATTTACTCCTGAGTTTTACTTTTTTACTACATGTGTGGCTAGATTCTCCGAATATCGTGTACATGTTGGATTGAAAAGTCTGAAACTGGACTCCCAATGTGTGCAAGGTTAGCTATGAGATGTTAACTCCCACATATGTTTTAATTTAAAGCCTGACAGTGTGAGGTTTATTCACTTGAAATGCGGAAGTTGGAATGCAGGGTTTCACTAAGGGGGGTAGCCTGCGTAGCAGGTGTTTAAAAGGGGAAGGGGAAGCAGGAATTCTGGCGCGCGAGGATGTTGAAAACGGGAACCTTTTCCCCTCTTTTCTCATTTTTCCCCCTCCTCGCGCGCCCCTTTGCGCTCTCACGCACCCAATTCCCGCGTTCTCCTTTCCCTTTTAAAGCTGCCACGCAGGCTAAACGTAGGGGATTAAGCCCCTCTATTTTTAAGTTGTTTCTAAAAGGTTTCCGTTGTGTACATTGGCTTGCACCTCACACAGACTGCAAGCAAATGTGACGACATGAAGAAAATATAATATCGAAAGTCAACCTTTGGAAAGTGTTAATGTGAAGATTTAGGATTGTTTACTGCTGGTGACCTCTCATGAAACCAACAAGTTGATAACTAATAACTGCTTAGGCTGATGGGGTTTTAGGGTTGGTTCAAAGGACCTGCGGGGACTTAAAGGACATTGATACTATGAAAACACTTTACCGTAGTCTTGTGAGACCTTTATTAGAATATTCATGGGAAACTTGGAAGCCTCATGCTAAACGTAACATTGATAAATTAGAGGCTGTACAGCGAAGAGCCACCAGATGGATTACCAAGTCTGATGATGATTACGATACTATACTATCTAAGTTAAAATTGTTGTCACTATTTAATAGGAGGTTCATTTGAGATGTTACGTAATTGATGGACATTATGATATAGGCATATCAACAAAGCTCATATTTTGTAAGGACAGAAACACAGGTTATAACTTGTAATGGGGAAAAATGACACACAGGACCTTGATTATAGCCATTGATTTATTATGTGTTCTAAAATTGGTTAAAGATATCAACAAGCGGAATAAAAACTGCTGCCACTGCTCTATTGAGCACGGTGAATAAAGATTTAAAAAAGGATTAACTTCTGTACTTCTTACTTTGGCTTGCACCCAAAAATGCGAGAACATTTGTCTTCAATCTGGATTTTGTGTGTGGGTTTGTTTATTGTGCTCTCTGATTTCGCAAAAAAAAATTGTCGGTGCGGTTAGATTCTTCTAATTTCGTGTGGGAGAAAAGTCTAAAGTGACAGAGGGACGGCAAACGCCAAATTCAAGTTGAGAATTTCTCAAAACAGAAGGTGAGCGGATAAAAAAAGCTCACAACAATTCTAATTAATCTAATGGATAGAAAATTGCATGAAACTACAAACATTTGTGTAGATATAATGAACAGTAAACGACAAGTAAAGGGGAAACTTAGTCACGTGGTACAAATTCGCGTTTGCCGTTTGACGTAAACGTGATGCTTAACCTCTCTTAAAACTTACTAGTGGATTTTAGGGAGCACTAACATCCCGGAATATCCGATACTCGCAAAGGCCGTTTTAGCTTTGACTGAGAAGACGTTATCGCTTATTTTGTTAACTTATTTTGTTAAGTTTTTGACTGCAGTGCTTGCAGCTCACTCATTTGATATGCGGAAGTTCAAAGTAGAATGCCATGGAATGTAGGATCAGGGGGTTTATTCTAAGTAAGCCTTTCTACTTGCAAGTGCACGTGGTTTCAAAAAGGTTGCGGTTGCGTACATTAGCTTACACCTGATACAGACTGCACGCAAATATGACATATCCCTCTAGCTAGGAACACAAAAAAAACCCTGAACTAATGTTAGCTTCTCCTACTTAATGACTGTTTTAGATCTTCTTCTATAACGTCGGAAAATCAGAATCACGTTTCTTAGTGTGGACTATCAGCTTACCCTTTGCTGACTGTTTCAAAGCCGCAGAAAAAATACTTCCTGAATGTGCCATGAAAGGCATTGCGTGCGGCGAGCGAAAGTTTTCTAAACATAATCCATGCACACTTACCACGGATCATCACCAAAAACCCTTAACATTTATTTGGCTTTCGGAAAGAAGTGACAGTTTTCTAAAAGAATTATCATCACTGAATCATTTAACAAGTTAAACCACGAAACAACGAGTGCGTTCGCAATGATAGCATTGAATGACCAAGAAAAGAGTTGAGGGTTTATCTAATTACAGTTTCCAGGATCCACTGTTTTTCTTTCTTTCAGGAAACGTAGTGCATGTGTGGGTGGTGATAAAGTCTTTTAAGACTCATTACGTGGAATACCGCATGCATATAGAAAGGATAAAATTAGCTTCGCTTTGCCAAGGGTGTCATATCTAAAGTTTGACCGGCTAAACTGGCCCTATGCAGGGTAAACAACTAGAGTTTTGGCAACAAACTTTAGATAAACGTTGCTCTTACAAATATCTACAATTACTGTTAATTGTGGGAATATTTTTAAGCTGCTTTAGAGGGAGTTGTCCTTAAAATATTTTGATAAACTATTTCCACCGACATAGCCGTCTCTCGCACTGCACTCTGGGACCAAAGCGACACTTCTTTTGTTGAGCTCCTGAAAGCGTGCCTTTGTCTCTTAAATTTACATAGTATATGAAATCAATAAAAATTAGGCAAAGTGCCGGACAGCGTGATTCTAAGAGTGTGCCCAGAGCTCCATAAGACAGTCGGTTTTCATTAGTTTGAATCTAGTGATGAAATACTTGGCAGAAGTAGCTGTTGGCGAGCCCTTTTGTTCTTCTTGTTAATATGCAAGACATGAAATTCGCTCTATTAAAGCATAACATATGATTAAGTGCACGGCTACTTAAAAGTTGTCATACTGTGAAAAGCCAAATAAAATATTGTTTTTGAAGACGACTGCCAAACGTCGGTTTAACGTCTCAACAACAACCCTATTCAAGACTTAAACTCCCACACAACCCAGACGATCACATTCCACCTACGTTTGAAATGACTCCTCGGCTCAAACCATCAACTGTAAAAAAAAAATTAAAATTTGCATCACATTGCACTTTCACTACCCAATCAGCTTGTTTTTACTTGTTAAGAGGATTTGGTATACATGGCTGATTTGTCAAATATGAGCCGAGGAAACGTTTGTACCGCTATAAAACAACCCATCCAGATGTCGACAGGCCATTACATCTAGCTTTAGCAGCCAGATGGACCTCAGAAAATTTGCACCTTTTGTCTTTCTCCTAAACCTGGGGATTCTCCCTCTAACTGTAAAAGGTATGCCAGTCTCTTATTTTCATCGTAGGCCGTTGCAATCAGCATTTGTGCGTTCTTATACCTAACAAAGGGCAAATATTACTTTTTTTCTTGTAACATAGTTGAAAATTGTTAAAATTTCATCTCCTGAAAAGCAATTCATCTCGATCGAAGACTTTCTATTTTGTTCTTTATTTTTTAAGGAACACTGCATGTACATATTTAGACCTCATGTAAAGACAGAAGGTCTAACAGCTAATATTTTTGATTTTCCTAGTTCTTCTGATTTACAACTTTGGGGAACGCAACAAGCCCCTCCCTCTCGTTTAAGTGACTAACTCAGTGCTCGAGCTTGCGACTAGAGTACTAAGGTCAAAGTCTCTGATGGATGCATTTTTCCATCTCATTTAATGTGCCAGTTTCTATAAATCTCACGATCTCGAGAAAATGATTCTATTGCAAAGTTTTCGATGGACTAATTTGTTTGTTGTAACTCGGTTCTCCAAAATAGTACAGTCTGTTCCCGTCAGCGGGCTACCAATTGGACTGACGGAAAACGAAACAAAATTTTAAGCACAGACAGGTGATTGATTCTTGATACGATATTTCATATCCCCAGAAGACCTACGGTTTGAAGATTTCAGATCTAGAACATAAGATTTTGACAGTGGGGTGAGATCTCTGAAAATAAACCTGCCCCTTACACTCCACACTCACATTCTGATCCAACGCGAAAGTTTTAATCCATTTCAAACTTTTGAAGACCATAGTGATGTCTGGCAGTTCATCAACCCACCTTTTACAGAAAACCTTAAACGAGTTTTTATTCTTTGATTTTCCTATTTTGGAATCAGTCATTTCCGCACTTCTACCGATGTCCATATTTCCTAATCCGTTCAGCTCTGTTTTAATTCAATCAGAGATAACTGTCATTCGCGGGCTACCCTTTTGGTGCAAGGAACCGAGCTTACTCGACACATTGCGTGTGGGCGCGTAAGAAAACAGTAATTTGATTAATCTAAATATTTAGATTTGCTCTCAAGAAGTGGAGTAATTGAACATGAACGAAAAAGGAGCTAGGGGAGATAAAATTGGACTTAAAAAAATCTAAAGAGAGTTATTACAGTAGCTAATCTCCGAGTTTGCCATTTGGATCGCCGCGATCTTTATCAAATATTGTCCAAATCAAGAGTGAAACATTGAAATATGATGATAAAGGTAAAGCAAAAACAATATAAAAACTAGATGATATCAAAATTTGCATAAAGATACTTACCTTCAAGGCGAGAATGCCATTCGCCAAATTGTTCAGTACAATTTCAGAAAAGCATGCTGAGCATTAAGGGGCGGGGGGGAGGGGTGACCAAGGAAATCGGTGGTTCAGTCCGCCTGCCAGTATGACGTCACACATCTCGCGTCAGTGACTTTCAAAGTGGCGAGCAAAGTGTTCATCGAAGAAACAGATAAAAATTTCGAATTTATCACGGAAATGCTGTTCCGATTTCTTGGATTTGGAGATTTTAAGGTCCCTCTTGTCATAGAAAACTAGACTTTAGTACTTTTTTGGAATGAAACGACCACTGGTGTAAGAAATTTTAAAGATCCCTTTCTATCGTTGAGCAAATTTTACGGGCAATCATACGGACCGGTCATATTTTTTAGGGCCAGTGCACGGCAAGATTGAGGAATTTAGACACAGCAATAGGAGGTTCATCAAAGGATCTTTCATTCTTTACATTGTGCGTATTTTCAGCTGTTCAGAGCTTAGCTTAGCTGTAGCGTTGAAAGAGGAAGCTACATGACAGATATTTGTGAGAGACCCTGAGCGTTGAATCTTGTTGCTTTAACATATTTTCATACTGTACTGGGCATACACCTGTAATTGTGTAATTAAATCCCGAAAACCAATAAAAGGTTTCGTTTAATTAGTTTTTGGGGCCAAACCCAGTGGAGATTTTACGGTAATATATTGATAATTAAGACGATGTACAAAAGGCAGGTCTAAATTTCGCCAGTGGATCACTGATGGGTGTTGGGTGTAAACTAGTACAGTCTTCTGGTGTACTGTGTGTTGTTTGTCATGATGTCAACTAGCATTGAAAAAATTGCAGCTGTTTGAGAGGAGAGGGGACATAAGTTGACAGCTTGTGGTTTTTTCTGGCCGTAAGCTTGGCCAGTATGCAGATCAAGAACTCTTGAAATTCCTTTTCCAAAATAATACTCCGGACTTAAGCTTAAAATATATATTGATCCAAGTGCATGACCAGCAGGGTCCGTAGTAAGAATAAAGAAAAACAGGCGAAAAGGAAAAACCAAGACTAAACAGAAAAAAAAATAAAAACGGTACAAACAAACAGAAAACAGCGTCGCCGGGAGACGAACCCGGTTTATCTGCAAGTGTAAGCAACTCCTTGACCGCTGCACCACAGTGACACACATGTTTTGGAAACCATTTTTTAGTCTAACATAGACGCTGTTTCAAGCTGGTGGAGCTGTATTTATCATGAATTCAAATATACATTAATTTGAGGAAAATTAGCTTAAGCGCGTATTTCGAAGCTATTTCGCATTATTTCGGGTTCAACGCCGGCCGACCCGATGTAGATAATCGATCGAGCTAGCTTTACTGAGTTTGGTGGAGAATTAGGAGATGAACAGAGGCCCACACTCGAAAGGATTGATAAAGAGTGAGGCCCGTTTAATTAGCAAAAGAATAGATAAAATATTAATATGTCAGGAGCCGGTTACTGATATGTGTGATCTGTGAATAGAACCTCCTATTCTGGAGACTAGACCTTGCCTATTTTAGAGAAAAAAAAGATTTAAGTTTTGATTTCCTTACCGGTCCCATAAAAAAGACGGCGATCCCGCAGCACGGCCCGCAAAACAAATTAACAAAATTATACAATTATTTACGGACACAAAATATCAAAACGGTTTACACAAGCAGATTATAGCAACACCAAAGCTCACACACATTCGATCAAATTAGCGATATATGGCGATATCTGATAGCTTCTTAGCTTTTCCTCGACCTCGCTCGTCCTAATAACTGTCGTATCCCTTTCTAATTTGCACAAGCGACTCAAGGCTCTTGCCCGTTACTATGTGACGTCATACTGGCAGGCAGAGTGGGTCAAGAAACTTAGGAATAAAACAATAGAGTTACCTCCCCTCCCCCCATGATGTTGAGTAATTGAAATGAAAATTATCTGTATATATAAACTTCTTCTTCCTAAATTTTCTTTACATAACGACAAGGCAAAGATTTTACACCTCGCCTGGAAATGAAAAGTGAAAAAATGCTAGGCTACGTTTTTTAAGCGCATATTTCTTTTCCCTATGACGCCAAAGTAGAGTCGCTTATTAACCTCTAGACTTGGACCGTAGGCCAAGCTACGTTTTTACAGCGCTATTTAAATGAAAAGAAAAGTCACAATGTCCTTGCAAAAGTACAGCTTTTGGTGATGTCTTTCAAAAAGAACTTCAGTAAATGAAGAAGAATTAATTTTCTGTCCTCACATTTTAAAAACATACGAAAGTTGCTTATCTCTCCTCGCCTGTCAAATAAACACAGACACACCCCTAGCCTCTCTTCATTTCTTTTCAACCAACACTCCGTCTCGTTCCATCCCATACTTACACTACATTGAGACATTTTTTTCTATTTTACAGGCATTTCCTATCAAGTTGGAAAACTGAACGCATCAGAGACACGTCAAGGATGGAATTGCAACAGTGGATGTGAGGCGCCACAACATTGTACACTGCCACGCTGCACTAACGTGATATTTCCGCAGACGTTTAGTGGATCTGGAACAGTAAGTAAACCCTAAGCAATTAAAAATTACCGTATTTCTTCAAATAATAGCCTCAAGCGATTATTCGAGGGAGGCGATTATTTCAAATATTGGTCACTGGAAGTCGATCCCTAAATATTTTCTTTTGTTACCCGTTAAATAAAAATAAAGAAATAATCACATCAAAATATACTAAACATGGGCTTTATAAGTTTTCAAAAAATGGTTCCTTGTCAAGAGCAATCCTGTTCCTTGGTTATTTTTCGATTTCAATATCCTTGGCGTTAGAGCTTGAATCGTCAGTGATCAGTTTTGCTGGATGAGATTCCACTTCAGCTTTGTTTGTTTTTTTAACTCGACAGGGAGGTGGTAAAGAAAGAGAAGATAGCGAGAAGGGTGGGGATTAGGGGCGATTATTTGAGGGAGGCGATTAATCGAGGGACGGCTATTTTTCGAGGAAATACAGTAGTCTAATCTTAAGGGTTGGTGGCAACTTTCTTTTGTTAGCAGAACACAATAAGCTTCTCTAGAAACTAATGTTTTTAACAAATCATAGTGGCCTTTGTAATGTTATGACCTCAGACAATTTAGTGCGCATCGGTGTGCTCAAGTGCTCCCTAATCCCTAGGATGCGAGTGTTTTCAAACAAGACAAAACAAAAAAGCCAGAGAATTCTGACAATAAAAATAGGCTAGAAGATCTTTAATCCTTGGAATGGGGCCGGGAATGGAGGGTTGAATTAGATCCTCTTTTTTTTTCAGATTTAGTGTGAGGAGTGCACGCGCGCACGAGCATTGAAACCACCAGACGCACGCGAGAAACGAGGGCGGTAGTCTCGCCCCTTCAGTCACGCGCGTGGTCATTTGCGTTACTCGCGCGTTTCGCACGACAGACAGATCAACAGTCCGGAATATCCCTAAATTTAAGGACAGGGCCAAATGGTCACGCGACACTGTTCAACCAAGTAGAAGGTGTGCTTGTGTTTATCAAAACATTGACCAAGTGATCAAAAATTTTCACAACAGCGGACGTTGAGGTCGTACAAAACAGGAATGGTACTACCTATTAACCTCTACAGGACAAGAATCAAAGAACCAGTCATCATAACAAGAATAAAAAGTAGTTCAAATTTATTAATTCTCCTTGTTTGTTTTTTTGTGTTCTTTCGTGTTGACTTTACGCATCTGGTGCTTTCTTTGCTTGTTGTCGTACCTGCAATGTTTAATTTTATCCCAGATAATCAGTGCATGTTTAATGAGTAGCGAACTACATCATTTACAGTTGAAATTTGTCTTCTTTCTTTGATTTTTTTAACTGTGGATGAACATTTGGAGAATCCAACAATAATAAATCTTTCCAGATTTGGTGATTTTTCAGAAACAAAGCGGTTAATAACTACCTTGCGCTTATGATCTTTAATTTTATTCCCGCAAATTCGGCAAAGTGAAGCGAGATGCATGTTGGACGTGAATATCCATAAGACTAATAAAGTTGTTTTGGCCTTGAAAAGAAAAAAGACAAAGGCTCGAATTAATTCGAAAAAAAGTAATAACACGGCTCTGCCATGTCTGCGTGAAACCTGGGAGTGGAACACGTTCGAGTTTTGGACCGTCGGAATTCAAAAATCGTCTACCAAAATTCTAGGAGGGTCTGGATAGGGGGGCACAAATGTCAGTTGTCAGTTAAAATTTAGGCTATTTGTCAGCTGTCAGTTAAATAGCTATCAATAATTAACTATGAAACTTATTTGTATATTTGTGATGCGCAATTTGGCTTAACAGGCACATATAATGTAAATTAAACATTAAATTCGAAAACTGATGCCATACTACCTTGGTTTTTATCAGCTTTGTTATTGTAAGCATTTCAAGTGACCCCCCTTTTCTCAAGTCTTGTGTTACTTTTCTCCACTCGAACATTTTTGCTGGCCAGAGTGCAAGATTGTCAACCGTTACTGAGCCAATCAAAATTATACCTTCAGAATATTTTATACGCATTATGCTTGAGTCTTGCGTCTGTGGACTAAAGACATCGATCTCACGCATCAAGGACAATTTCTCACATCTGACTCTCAAATCCGGACAAATTGTTCTTAACACATGATGACTTTGTGTCCTTTTTTGTGTTCTAACGAAATCATATCAAAGCACGCTAAAAGTGTCGTCTTTTAAGTAGCTTCGAAAGTGCTCAAACATCAGGTCTTCTGGAACATCTGCGGACATTTAACTTTCGGCAACGTTCGGAAGTCTTCGGTAATTCGTCGGAAATCTTTGGAAGTCGCCGGGACGTTTCGTGAAATCTTGGTTATGACAAGGTAAAAATCTGACGCATTTGACTCAGAAAAAGCTGGCAGGTATAATATTGGGACGTAGATCGTAAGAAGACCAAGAAAACCGTCTCTGAATCATGTCAGTAAAACCCTGCAATTAATTGCCTTTGTAACGCCATCATTCTGAGCAGCCATCGTATGCTGGCGCGTTCTCAGAGAAACGTAAATTTGAAATCATACGTCATTTGCAGATGGTACGTGACACACATGAGATTTTAAGCGTCTTGCTGCTAAGATTACCCGTAAAAACGCACATTTGATCACATCATACGATAAAAACAATGCTATTCAAGGCCTTAAGAACAAGTTTTGTAGAAAATAAAGGACTGTCAGGTCCTTTGTCAGTTGACAGGCAAATGTCAGAAGTCAGTTAAATTTTCGGCTATTTGTGAGTTGTCAGTTGTCAGTTAACCCCATCCAGACCCTCTTCTAGGTTGTCTACTATCCCCATGTTCAACGTGATAGACGTTAATGGATATGACAATTAAGGAAAAATATCTAGAACGACGTAAAAAAATCTGTAAATCAAAAAAACTAGATACTTGTTCACCAACCTTGAAAACCGACCAAAATCTCGCCTACATCGTGTTGTTTAAAAGAAGAAATAAGCCACAAAATGTGCTGAATATTTCACGAGACACTTCCAATATGGCTTTCGATACGTTGTCCACTTAAAACAAATTGTGTATGCCTCATGAAAAGTCTTACAAATATGCCAGAGAGTCTCGAAACGGTGACTGTGATGGTTTAAGTAATCTATCCGCCATTTTCTTCGTGAAAAAGAGCTCCATGACGTCACAACTGTCCTTAAATTTAGGGATATTCCGGACTGATCAAGGTAGAAGAAAAAAGAGAGACTGTTCGTGATGTACGGTTGAATTGTCGCCTGCAAATTTTCATTCATGCTTATCTTTTCAGGTTCGAGTCTTTGTGTCATTAAGCCACGAAGATCAGTCTTCAGTTGTTCATGCGCCTTCTGCTGTGTGGGCAGAGTCCATAAGTACAGCTGGATTTCAGTTATGCTCGCGTGCAACAGGTTCTACAAATAACACTGGAATTATCAACTGGGTAGCGTTTCAGGACAAACCCATGTTAACGCATGGAAGCGTTACTTTTAGTGGAATATGGACAACAGAAACCAAGTGTGAGAAGGTGACTTTTACTCAGGTTAGATAACAATAATTGATAACAAGTGTATAATTTTGTTATCAGGATGTAAAACGTAATTAAATAGTAGAAACAAATGAAATAGTATCAGAAATTATAGTTCTAAAACAAAGATTTAATTAATCTGCTCCCATAAGCCTTTGATAAATCCTTAATTTCATTTAAGTGCCACTGAGCACTTCATTGATACGATTATGTTGATTTATATCTCGAGAAGCTTGTTTATTTTTCAGTCAATAGTTTTTCATATATCTAACACTTTTTGCAGAGCTTTGCTTCCAAGCCTCGTGTATTTGTCTCTGTTAAGTACACTCGCAGTACTAAGCCAAATGATGCTATGTACTTATGGTTAGAAAACGTCAATTCTGGAGGATTTGAAGTGTGCTTAAGGGAATTCTTGCCCTTTGATGGAAAGCACCAAGATGCAGTTGTGGTAAGTGAAGAAAAATGCTCGAGTAAACTTTAAACTTTTTAATGATTGATGAAATATAAATAAGTAAATAACTTGACTTTGCCACACTTCGGCAGCCCGTACAACCAATTACCTAGAACGTTCGTAACACAATTAAGGTCAGTGTCCTGTCTCACGTGTCTCATGCAGTCATTTCTTGTTAAAGGAAGTGTCGTTCGATGCCTGACGCAACTCGTCTTGTAAATTAAACATTATTTTCTTGTCCACAGGACTGGTTCACATTCACTGGAAATGGGAGTCAACTTAATTTCACAATAACTGGAGAAGAAATCTTTCCAAACAGTGGAAATCCATCGGCCAAAAACAACTACGGCTTCTGTCAGGTGAAAACTTTAGTTCTAACAAGAACATTTAGCAAGCCACAGAACATTTTCAGTGGTTGAGGTCACACAAGAGAAAACTTAATATAGTAAACCCAAATTTACCAGGCCATGGTGATCGACAATGTATCCAAAATGGCAATTCCCAGATGAACGCGACATGCTTATCTCGCGACTTGAATGTGCGCATATTTTGGGATTTTTAAACTTCGCGACTTTGCAAGAATTTTATATTTCGAATCACTTCAATTTCACGCTGTTGAGTGGGCGAATAATTGAGGTGGGGACTTTACAGATGATGGGCAAAAATAGAGGGAGAAGTGAGCACGTTCACATCCATTTACTAACCTACATTACTTTTTTACCTATTTACAGGAAGTACCTTTCAATACGACCTTTTACAAATCGCCAATTGTGATTCTTTCCGTAAATCATGAGTATAATATTCAGGTCAAGGGAAGCCGTCTTCCAGAAAATAATATAATATCGTCCTGGGTTGAGGTAGGTTTGAATTTCTATTCTAACCTGAGAAAGAAGCCGGCATTTCACGCTACGCCACCACTAGTTTTTCCACAAAATGACGTCTGATGAACGACGATAGCAAAAATTGTATACTGATGATGTGTCACCTGGGCATGCAGTGCTTCTGATTGGTTGATTAGAAAACTTCCATTGCGGCACGACCAATCAGGAGCAGTATCTTGATCTGGGAAGTGCAAAGTCATCATTATGGGATTTCTTCACTCGTTCCACAGACGTCTTTTCAACCAGTAATTAATTGCGTCGCGAAATGGGGTTTTCCTCACTGGATAATATTCTTGTTCAATAAGAGAAGAGAAGTAATCCGTATATTCTAGTAAATTGATAAAAGGACCGTGAAAGAGCCATAAGAAACAGGTAATTTGGATCTGATCCGTGAATTTCATGACTTGTATTGTCGTCGTAGAAATTAAGAAGAAATTATGGATTTTCTAGTAACTGATGAGTGCTATCACATTTTGCTGTAGGACGTTGGATTAGAAGTTATGAAGATATGCGTTAAAGACCTCAGTGGATTAGGATCGAGTCATGATCCCTTGATTGTCAGCTACGCTGTTACTGGAGGCTGTTAATTAATTTTCCTATTGTAATTATCACTATTTCTAGAATTATTATTATTACTTTTACTTTTATTTTTATTGATATCTTTTAGAAGTTTCTATTTGTAGGAAAACGTTTCATGATGATAGAATTAACTAAACGCTGGAGTACAAACAATGATAAGCTTATTCATGTTACACTCTTCCTTTGAACGCACATAAGGAATGATGGGATAAGAGCAATTAGGGGGCAGACAAGTAATAAAATTGCCAAACGAGTAATCGAGCAATCGCGGGCGAGTTTGTTTATTCCCTCAAAATAAGACGACGATTCTAGTCATGCAAAATGCAAAATGTAAAGTTCGACAAGTTTTACGTCATAATTCCTTGCTGTGAAGACTTCTACTGTGGTGTACTGCATTCAAAATCACTTCCACCCATCTTTTGCGATTTTCGTTTCATTTAATGTTGAAACTTCTTTTCTATTGTGTAGATCAAACAAAACTCGACTGCATTTTTGTATTTGCAGATTTTATCTCTTGTTTGCCCCCTGAGAAACCACGTAACATTGCTTTAATTTATTCCATCAGCCTTAAGCGCGTGCAAAGATGGCGGTATCGTTAATAAGGTCTGCTAACGATAAAAATAATAGGTTGAGTTGCCTGTATGCAAACATGTCATTACTATTTAGTTTTAATTCAAATATGAAGAATATATTAGAAATTTATGTTTTTTCCGAATTGATAACTACTCAATATGATGTTTTTTTTCTTGCTGCAGATCTTAATCCTTGCCTTAATGTGCATTGCCCTCGATTTGGAGTCTGCAGGACCTACAGTGCGCATGACGCTCAGTGTGAGTGCGATGACCAATGCCCCTCATATAAAGACCCAGTGTGCACTGCGAACGGAACAACTTACGACAACCGATGCTGGCATAAGTTAAGCTATTGCAGAGGACTCGAAAATAATCTGGTCTACCACCCAGGAAGCTGTGAAGGTAACGAAAAATGATTTGAACGATTTTTTTGGCTGTATATGCCACATAAAATAGTCTGGGAGTTTAGCTCTCGATCGCTTAGAATTATAGTTGTTGGCTCAAAATTGCATTCAATTTGGCTTCTAGCTATAGGATGTTTATAACTTTCCGTTACTTTTAAGCTCACTTCTAGCTCCTCACGCAGGCTAAGCAACAATAGACAGCTGCAATAAGTTACTTCGTCTCTCTACTTTGGCAAACAAACATATAGCAGCCCAGACTATAGCCGATGTTTAATCTGTGTAAGATCTTTTATTCTCTTTTGCCTTGCAATCTAGTTTTTATCTCGTAAAATTAGATTTACACAAATTTGCTCGGGCAAATAAGGTTCAAAAAAGTGCAAAAGAGGAGGAAATCAAAGACAAGGGTGGTAAATATCACATTTACATACCAGTTTACATGGAGTTGCATATTTGAGGGCAAATGCAGTATTTATTATCTTTGCCCTTGATTTCATCCTCTTTTGTATTTTTTTTTTTTTTGCACCCTATTAGCACTGAGTAAATTTGCTGAAAATCAAATATTTCGCGCAGTGGCGCGCGCTCCCACGCGTACATGTCATCAGGTACGCTTTTGATTTATAATTTTTTTTTTGGCCTCCTCCAGTACTGCATATGTTTATCTTTATACTGGCATATGTTTATCTTGGGCACTGAAACCAGCAACCAGCATGCAATAATAAGCAGCCACTATACATTTCGTTGTTGAAAGGTAGCCGACATTGCAAGTTATAGCCTAGTTTTAGTTCAATTTCCACGCTTTTTTTTATCACCACCCTTCACCACTTAGAGTTACACTACAACGCAAGCTAATGAAGCTACGACCTTAGCGATAATGCTTAAAGAGTACAGTGATGCTTCCTTATCAAGTACTTAATTTATTATAAAACAGGTTTTCCAATTGTTCGGGGCCGTGTAGATCTGCTACAGGTTCCAAAATGGTCAGATTCAAACTGTCAGACAGTCACATTTCCTCCATACAGGTTTTATCCCGATAAACAAGTTCATGTTCAAATAACCGTCAATCACATGAAGCTGAATGACTCTGTGACAGTCCACGACGCTGTTACTTCATGGACAGAAAGTATCAACACAAAAAACTTCACCGTCTGTGTCATGCAAACCGGAAGGAAAGAAGAAGGTGCGAATCCATTTGCCACCATTGATTGGGTGGCTTATCAAGGTGCACCGCCCGAAGGATTGACGGGAACGGTTGAGTTGCAGAAATGGTGGTCTGGTACCAACTGCGCAGATGTGACTTTTCCTACGGTGAGAGATTATATAATTGATGCAAGTCCCCAAGGCAAATGTTAGACATTCATTCATCTGACAGCTTTAATCCACGCCGTCTTTAAATAAAAAAATAACGGATCATTACGAGGTGACTAGGAAGAAAAAAGACGATTGCTACAATAAATAACAAGACAAGGTTAGGTAATAAATAAGAAGGGGAACTTACTCAGTGATTAGTTGCGTGTAATTTTTGCAGCAATATTCATCTTAACATGACTTCAGTTGTTGTTATTGTGTTTTTTGGGCTTTTCCTTCAGGGCAAGTTTGCTGAGGCGCCAATAGTCCTTGTGACGTCAGAGCACCTGAGGACTGGTAAAGAGTATGATGCTGCTCTCATTTGGATTGAAGACGTAACTAAGGACTCAGTTAAAGTCTGTCTTCGTGAAATGCAAAACTTTGACGGTAGACACCAAGATATCACTGTGGTACGTTCTTAGTGATTTTCTTAGAAACTGGAACGCGAATGTCTGCAAAATTTGTAAGGATTGTTGGTCTGTTAACCATAACAGCGCGGTTAAGTTGAAATGGCGTTGATAACTTTAAAGATCGTCCTGGCGAGTGATGGTTCAGTCGAACGAAGGGAACTGCAAAAAGAAAAACATAAAAAGGAACAGAAATATAATAATAACGAAAAGAAGAAAAAGAAGAAAAAAAACTGAATATCATTACAAGAAGTGAATTTTAAATAGCACGCAAATTGGTCTGCCTTGTCCCCATGCTTCCCTTCCTGACGTTTTTACGCGATTCCCCCGATGTCGTAAAAAATTGTGGATTTGCATCCTTTCCTTGACTTTTTGCGCTCTTTGTTAGTTCACAAATTTATAGAGTTCAAAATGCTTAGGTTCACTGAAAGGGCCCTGAAAATGCAGTTGATTTTAAATAAATTTTCTGTGGGTATGTTACAAGACTGTTACAAGTACGGGTGGCATCATTTTTGTTTTTTCCTCTTTTCACAGAACTGGTTTGCCTTTTCCAAACTGCACAAGCCTCTTTTCACTGAACATGGCGTCATAAGTTTCCCAAATACGAACCCACCTTCGGATAAAATGAACAATGCTTATTGTGAGGTGAGAAAAGAATTCTATGCAAAATTATAAGCATAAGCGTGCTATTCACAGGATTTTCCGTCACAAATATTTAGCTTACTTACATCACTGTTTATATCTTCAAAACACCTATAGTCATATACACTGTACGGGGTAGAGATCAAAGTAACCAGAAAAGCTAAGAAGCTGGTTCACAAAATAATGTTTGAAAAACGTTAATCAAAATATTAAAAGGGCAGTTCGTTCTGTTAAAATGATTAATCGCAAATATTGTTTGTCCAACCGTGACTTCAAAAATAAACACAACCGAAGGTAACTAAAGTTAAAGGAAACAGTG